TTTTATTTTTAATTAAATTTGCTAAAAGATTGTGATTCAAATTGCTTTATATTCTGTTCAAACAATCAATGTTTTAGGAACGTAAAAAAAAAACCATTTAAATTATTTCTTATTTTTGTAAACTGAAACATAGAAATGTTATTTTGATTGAAATGTTCTATGTAAGTAGTTAGCATTTTTTGTCTAAAACTAATTTAAATTTGTTATGTGTTATTTAAATATTCCTGAAATTCATCCCAAAGTTTAGTGTTTCTATATTTTTACTATCATAAGGATTTCTTGCTAATTAATATCTATACATTGAACTGTCATTTCATCAAACTTATTTTTCGCAATATTGACACATTTAGCATTAAATCATTTCAACTTTCTTTTTTGTTCTTAGTGCCATATTCATGGAATATTTGAAAAGATGCTTTTAGGAAGGTAACCAACTAAAAATTAAATTTATGACAAGTTTATTTGAAATACTATTTTTTTAAATTGCTTCAACTACCATTTCATTTCTAAATCATGAGACACATTTTGTTGCATCATTTTTATTTATTAAAATGTAAATTCCAAAAAAAAAAAACAAAACAAAACACCATAGCAGAGACATTTCATAAAAGTTAATAATTGAGTATCATTTTTCTGTTTTATGATTCGTAATATAAACAAAAGTATTAGCACATGCATTTTGTTAATGAAATTTCATTTTTTTATGCAAAGAGAGAGAGAGAGGGAAAGGAAGAGGGAGAGAAAGATTGGAAAGAATGATGAAAGAACTGATGACATCTTCCTTTTTTACTATTCAATCAACCGAACATAATCTATATTTTATCGTTTTCATATTTTCTTCAAAAAGCAACAATATTTCCTTCTTTTATATTTCATTCGCAATTTCATCTCAAAAAAAAAAAAAAAAAAGATCCCTAAACTTATCATGTAATCATTTCAACTAGAATGATCAAAAAAATCACTTTGGCAAGAATGATCGAATTATTTCAACCAGAATAACCAACTCATTGCAACCAGACTTACCAATTCATTTCAACCAGAAAAATCGAATCATTTCAATTGACCCAACTGACCATTTCAATTGGTCAGTTGAAATCGAATCATTCCAACTAGATTGACTTGATCATTTTCAATCAAAATGACCAATTCCTACAAAACATATCTATTGAAGAGAAGAGAAAATTACATAAGAAAAAAAAGAGTTTTTTTTTTTACATTTCGTTCGCAAAAATATTTATGATAGAGAAGAATGAAACAATTAGTTATAAAATTCTCTCTTTATTCCCTCAACTGATCCTTCTTTCCCTTTTTTAATCTTTTTGATTTTCTTAAATTCATTTAGATGAATTAGCTTTTCAACAGTTTCATTATATTTTTTTGCTAAAATTAAACGATGAAAAAAATGATAATGTTCTTCGTTCATTTCTTATTTTTTTAAGTCTGAAAAGAAAAATTTTTTTTTTCAATTATTTTATAACATTATTTTGCTTGCTTATGCTTACTATATCTTGAAGTTGGAATTTATGATTATAAATTTTCACTATGTTATCATATTTTTATCAACTTTTTTACTCGTTTAATTTTCCTTATAGCTCGTCGTCATTTTCATTTATCGTTGAAGATCGACTGATTGATTGATTGATTGATTGATTGATTGATCAGAAGATTGTCTTCAAGTATTTGAGTTCTCTGCAATAATTTCTCAGAAAATTAGCTTTTTTTCTAAATTCTCCTGCTAAAATATGAAATATCGTCTTTTTCACTGATTAAAAACTTCTATAACTCTCAGCTGCATTTTATTTGTTGATATTTAAAAATTTAATGCATTATTTTTAATGAGAAATGATAATTTAACTAAAAGCAAATGCATCATTAGCTTTTCCTAAGTAAGTAAGTGTTATCTGACTGAATTCATATATCACTCTGTATTATCAATAATAGTAGAAAAATATCATTCGACGTCGACTTAATCATCAATTTCTGCTAACAAACAAGTTTCCAAAAAATTTATACTTGTTAATTAATAATGAATGAAATTTTATTGACAGATTCTCTTGAATGTTAACTTTCTTATCATGTTAAAATAATTTCTTTTAATGAGCCTTTTTTGAATAATTATTTTCAAAAAATATCTGGTTCGATCAGAATTGAAGTGAATTAGAATAAATTGAGCTAAATAAATTTTTAATTAGCAAGAACTAAATTACGGAATTGAATTGAAATAAATTTGTCCCACCTGAACACATTACAAATATCTAATTAAATTAAACGCTTATGAAAATATTTTTCTCCTAACTTTCTCCTAACTTTTTTAATCCATTTTATTTTTGTTGCAACAGTAAATTTTGCAATTATTTATTGAATAATGAGTCAGTTTTACAGTATTAAATTTTATTTGCTAGAATACGTTTAATTTAAGCATTTTATAAACGTTTTTTGAAAGTTGTAGCACTGAAAAAATTTTTCAACTAACAATCTGTTTTTTTTTCTCAACAAATAATTGCAAATTAAATATTTCAACAATCATACAGGTTAAAAAAATTACAATCATTCATTTTCATTTCATCCAGAAATTTATTTCTCAGTGATTATTTTAACGTTGGTATCAGTTGAAAAGGAAAATTATAGTTTCCAAAATTTCGTACATACAAAAAAAGTTTTCAAATTATTATTGTTGGCCCATTTCATCTGTGGCGAAGGCATAAAAAAGATTTCGGAAACTATTACTTTTCAATTTGTTGATTGAAAAATGTTTTATTTCAATTGTTAATCTTGATAATTTCTATAGTTGAAAAATTGTAAATTTTTTCAAATAACAGAATTCATATTTTCCTAGATTTTAAATCTATTATTTATATCATTTAAAATTGTTTTGCTTTTAAAATAGTAAATTTTATTTATTTTTAGATCGTTTATTTTCATCTGTTCAACATTAAATTTACAACACGATTTTTCTGTCGACGTTTAATTGTTCAATTTTTTAAATTCGTGATTAATTTTTTTTTCTTTTTTTTAAGAAATATGAGTGTTGGCATGCGAAGATCCAAATCATTGCTTTGTCCTAAAGGTTCGTTTTATTTTTTTCTTTTTTGAAAATCTATTCAGAAATTTTTGAAGTACCCAATTTTAAATGTGTTCTAATAAGTGAATTCTTTAATTTCTCCACTTTTCTTACAAACGATTACCACGCTGAACTATTTCATTAATCTTTGCAACTGCAAAAAAAAGTGCAGAAACATTATAAAATTTACAAATTAATTGCTAATTTACTGTGCTACCTAATAGTGCATATTGCGTAAGAATGATAAATGATTCTTAAGATAAATTGTAATATTCAACTTCTGCGAAAATTCCGTATGAAAAATTTAAAAGTATCATTCATTAAGAAGATCAAGTCAAGAATTTATCTTATTTTAATTATTGAATTTAAAATTGATGAAAAAAAGAAGTTACAAATGGAAATACTAATCGACTAAAAAAGTCCAATACTGTATGCCGGTTTCACTTCCGATTGCCAAATACTTCGCTTTTTCCTTTTTTTCTTGGTCTCTCCCCTTCTCTCTCTCTCTCTCTCTCTCTCTCTTTCCGTCTGTCTCTCTCTCTCCCGAGCAACATGAAACGCCTTTTTCTCCGATCTATACCCAAAAAAAATGAAATTGAAATGGAAATCTAATTATTGAATTCAAAATTAAATGATTGATTTTAATTTTGTTACAGTCATTCCATTTTATACAATTCATTCAAGTAAGTTTTCACATATAAATTCAGGCACTACAAGAAGTATGAATACTGCTCGTAAAGGTAACAAAGAAAGGTGTCGTTCATTAAGACGACCAAGTAGGTTCACATTAATTTTTTACTTTAATTATTTTCTAATTTTTTTAATTTTCTTAAAATTTGATTAACAATTTTAAACTTGAAATTTTAAATTTCAGTTCAAAATTTATACAATTGAGTGTTTATTGTTTGCAATATGTTTCAATTTTTTTTTCAGAACATCAAAAAAACATTTCTTTGAATAAAAATATTGCATTGTATTAATTTTGTTGAATTATAAATCTAACTGTAACATTAAACATTCATGTGTTTTTTTTTTCATTTTTCATTTTTTCCAGATGTGCCATCAAAATTAACAGTACATCAACAACAAGCTTTATTAACATCTTGGAAATCATTACGACCAATCATTCAAACGGTTATGCGAAAAATATTGAATAAATTGGAAGAGGAGGTGCCTAAAGTTAAAGAGGTTGTATGGCAAAGAAATTTTATTTCATTTTTAATTTCAATTTATGCATTATTTTTATTTTCAATTTGATCAAATGATGACAGTTATATATGTATATATCAAAGTTTCACTTCCGATTGCCAAAAATGTATATATCAAAGTTTCAAATTGATATGAAAAATTTATTTGATACTTGATTTTATGTTTGAAAAATTTTAATATTATAGGAATTCCTCTTTCAATTATGACCTATTATTTGACATTGCTTGACCTCTTTTTTACAGATTTTTTATCAAACAGCAGTATTGGATGCTTTTAATCGTGAAAGTACATCGGAAAATGCAAATTCGGGTACTTTAGATGAACATGTAAAATTGATGATGGGGTACAGTGCTTTATTGATAATTTAGTTGCACGTTGATTTTCCAGTTTTCTTTTTTCATTTTTAAATCAAAGAAAACGGAAGGCGACGATAGTTTCTGATTAACTCTTTTTTTTTTTTTTTAAACATGAAATTTGCTATAGTATTTTTGTTAAATTTATCATCTCAAAAAATCTTTTAAAAACAAAAACAATGCGCATTAAATTTCTTTTTCACTATAATTTAAATCTCACTATAAGTTAAATTTTTTTTACCCCAAAAGTGATATTTAATATTTTCAGAAGATAGAACTGATATGTTAACTGTGCTTGAAATATTTAAAAATTTAAACAAAATATAATATTTTAGATTTTTCAATGATTTAGTATGTAATGTGGAAGATGAAGAGAAGATATCAAATAAAATTAGAAAAATTGGTCAATCACATGCTGTTCTCATTCAATGTTCATTCAGTGCCAATATTTGGGAAAAACTTGGTGAAATTACTATGCAATGTTTTAGTAGACAGGATGTTGTACAGGTATATCATAAATTATTGAATCTAATTACTACTCATTTACATATTCAATCATTACATCTAATTAATAATTTAAAAATTTTAATTATTAAGAAATGATTCGTTAATTGGAATGAAGAAAAAAAAAACAAAAACAGAAATCTGAAATAAAAGTTCCAATTATTTGTGGTAAGCATTTGAAATCGTTGTTTCATTCTTTAGCTGAATTTAAAAATTGATGAATTAAATACGGATGTAATTTTTAGAAGACAAGAGAAGCTGGAAAAGCTTGGCGTATATTAATCGCTTGGGTTACCGATGAATTACGATGTGGCTTTGATGGTCGAACACGGTTTAATAGCAGGTTAGCTTAGCCGTGCTTTGTAATTTTAAAATTTTTCTATTTCGATTTTCATCCAAAAATGATGGTTGGTGTGTTTTTAAAACGAATGAAAGATAAGTAATTTAAGAAGGAAAAAAATAAGGAAGAGAGAGAGAGAGACAGAGACAGAGAGAGAAAGAGAGGGAAGAGATGAATGAGACAAGTAGAAGTTTTAGATTTTTATTTGCGCTTAAGGTATTGAAGTTTGTGAGATATTGTTCCTCATTCATTTTTGGCCTATATTATCTTCGATGAAATTATGACTAAAAAAGTATCATTCTCATTAGCCTATCATATATTTCAAATTAAATTTCCAGAATTTCATCTTTCAAATCCCTAAAAATGACATCTTTGTCTATTTACTATTCATTGCTTGCTTAGTTGGTCATCTGCTATTTGTCTTCAAATGTTTTCTAAACTTTTTTTTTTTCCTAGAAAGTTGTTTGGCTTGAAATTATGATAGGAAATTTTTTTTACTCCCTTTTTCCAAATCCGATACTGTGAATTATATTGTTATGGATTGCTGCATAGTTCTTCTTTCAGTAACTTTTCATTGTTCTACCCTTATCATTTAGCGGAAGTTATTCAGTTTCCGAACCGTTGTAGACTCCATGAATTTAAAGATATAAACAATTGATTGAATTCATTCGAGAGAATTTTCCACCTATTTGTTACCAATGAATAACCGAACAAACGGAAATGAATATCAAATTTAACCGTCCATCCTATTCGGAAAAAAAAAGTTTTTTAGAAACGATTATCACTGTACCTGTTTAATTTCGATAACTGATGATCTGAATGCAATTTCAAAGGTCTAAAGGTTAACAACCTTACGGCATTTTATATGACCATTTCATTGTGGAAGTATTGCTGATCGTCAATGTACTTGTAATCTTTATACAATAAGAAAATATTTTCGTTTTTGTGATTATCAAACACCATACATGTACAGAAATATTTAAATACTGATATTAAAATATACGGACTAAAGTAAAAAAGAATTCACAATCAGCAAAAAGAATGAAAAATCGTGGTACTGAAAAAAAAGGAAGCATAAATATATCATAAATTCATCATATTCTAAATATGCATAATTCATTTCCCTCATATTTCACTAATTTCATTCAATTGGATTGTTCAAGTAGTTTATATAAATAATAACACTTAATGATATTTATAATTCTTAATAAATAACTCACGTTTCAAATATTCCATTTCAGGAATTCATCTCTGACAACTGCCATGCAATCCAATAAATGATCAGGACAGCATCGGTATAGCTCGGATGTCGGTACACTTCCGCAACATTTTCAACAACTTCAATTTGAACATAACTGTACCATACCATTGCAATGCATTATTGCATTCCTATTTTTATTTTATTTACTGATCATTTCTATTCTTATTGTCTTCTATTTGAGCAATATATATCATAAGCTTCCATTTTAATCGTCTATTTAGAAAATTTCTTCAATTTACGTTGATTTCGTACAAATTTC